GCAGCAAAAGGCTGCATTTGACCTGATTTGCTTGCAGTGCAAGCACAGCTCAGTAGGGCATGCTACAAAACACAAAGCAATACAGGTCAAACACTTGAGTTTGTGTGCGCCAGATGCATGTCAGACATAGGAATGGATAGGATCATACACTATATTGCCAAAAGTATTGGGACACCCCTTCAAATCATTGGATTCAGGCATTCCAATCACCACCATGGCCACAGGTGTTTAAAGTCAAGCGCCAAGGCATGCAGAATTTGTGAATTTAATTGTGGTACTGTGATAAGTTGCCACCTGTGCAATAAGTCCATCCATGAAATTACATTGCTACTAAATATTCCACAGTCCACTGTTAGTGGTAGTATAACAAAGTGGAAGCAACTGAGAACAACAGCAACTCAGCCATGAAGTGGTAGGTCACGTAAAATGACAGAGCGGGGTCAGCGCATGCTGAAGCACACAGTGCACAGAAGTCACCAGTTGTCTGCAAAGTCTATAGCTAAAGACCTCCAAACTTCATGTGGCCTTCAGATTAGCACAACAACAGTGTGTAGAGAGCCTCATGGAATGGTTTCCATAGCCGAGCAGCTGCATCCAAGCATTACCACGTGCAAAGCGTTGGATGCAGTGGTGTAAAGCACACCACCACTGGACTCTAGAGTAGTGGAGATGTGTTCTCTGGAGTGCCGAATCATGCTTCTCTGTCTGGCAATCTGATGGACGTGTCTGGGTTTGGCAGTTGCCAGGAAAACGGTACTTGCCTGACTGCATTGTGCCAAGTGTAAAGTTTGGTGGAGGGGGGATTATGGTGTGAGGTTGTTTCCAGGGGTTGGGCTTGGCCCCTTAGTTCCAGTGAAGGGAACTCTTAAAGTGTCAGCACACCAAGACATTTTGGACAATTTCATACTCCCAGCTTTGTGGGAACAGTTTGGGGATGGCCCCTTTCTGTTCCAACATGACTGCGTACCAGTGCACAAAACAAGGTCTATAAAGACATGGATGAGCAAGTTTGGGGTGGAGGAACTTGGCTGGCCTGCACAGAGTCCTGACCTCAACCCAATAGAACACCTTTGGGATGAATTGGAGTGGAGACTGCATGCCAGGCCTTCTTGTCCGACATCAGTGCCTGACCTCATAAATGCGTTTCTGGAAGAATGGTCAAACATTCCCATAGACACACTCCTAAACCTTGTGGACAGCCTTCCCAGAAGAGCTGAAGCTTTTCTAGCTGCAAAGGGTGGGCCAACTCAATATTGAACTCTACAGACTAAGACTGGGATGTCAGTTCATGTGCATGTAAAGGCAGATGTCCCAATACTTTGGCAATATAATGTATATGGTTACCTGGGAAAAAGAGCTCAGTATTAACATTACCCCAGAATAATGGAATGTTTTGTTTTAACTTTCATACTGTCCTTAGCCAACAAAGTGCAAGAGAAGAATTTTAAGTTGATTATCAGATGGTAAAAAATGTCCAAAAAACTCTGAATTGTATATGTCCCACTGTCCTTGACACCTGTTGGTGTTGCCACAGAGTCAAGGGAACTATGGCACATATTTGGTGGGAATGTCCTCATATTAAAACCTTTTTTAGGCTAGGATCATTCATTTTTTAATACAGGTTAACGGGGGCCAAAGTTGATTAATAATCCCAAAATAGTATTACTTTCTATCAATCTGGGTCCTATTAAATTGGTAAAAAAAGATGTCTTTAGATGCCATTTGTGATCTTGAATGTCTGCTGTCACAGGAAAATTATAAAACAGAACAGTTTTTAAATTCATGGACCCCGTGGCTCCGAGTTCAGAACCTAGGTTACCGAGTGAAACAAATAGTAAGGCTTCATGAAGGAGGCATTCCTTTTTCATCCCTTTTAATTTTTTTAAAGTAAACTATTCTAATAAATTTATATTAATATTCATGATTTAATAATAAATAATTTTGTCAGGGCTTAAAATTTCAAGTCCTGAGCTACTAGCCAGGCGTTAGAGTTACTCGCCACCAACAAACACACACAAACAGAGACACCTGTACACACACATACAGACATGTACATACACACACACACACACACACACACAGAGACACATGTACACACACACAGGCACGTACAGACACGCATACACACAGATACATGTACATACACAGAAATACACACGCACACACATGTACATACACACAGACACACACACACACATACATACACACACATGTACATGCACACACACAGACACATGGACACACACACACACACACATCTATATACACTCAGACACATGTACAGATACACACATGTACATACACACAGACACATGTACAATTGTACATGCATACACAGACACACAAACACACACACATGTACACGTACACACACAAACACACACCCCCACCCCCCCATAAAAAGTTGCAGTACTTCGTTGTTCACTCACAGATCCGGGTACTGCACTCTAGGGGGAGGCAGAGAGCACAGCACACACTCCTTGCTTTGCTTTCACTGTGCTCAGCTATTGAGCAGTCTGACGCCTCCCAGTGCCAATGACCAATCCGGCCTGAGCTCCGAGCCTGCTCAGCAAGACGACCCTGGGGGACACACTCGCCCCCACCATAAATTCCACTTGCCTTTGGCGAGCAGGCGAGTGGAAATTGCAAGCCCTGGTCTAGAACATTCAGTTTCTGTTTCCTGTTTTATGCTAAATTTTGTGGGAATATGAGCTGGTTACATTTTTTCTTTTCATGGGTGGATATCTTCATCTTGTTAAGTGTAAGGAATGTTATTTTTAAAATTAGTTGAAATCATAATGTAAAGGAGAATGGTGTAGAAAGTGAATACTAAGTGTTCTATAAATTGCTTATACTCACATTTTTTGTTGTCTCTGGACAATATATCATTTATCTCTTTGTTTTTAGATATGTCAAAATGTATTTCTTTTTCCTTGTTTTAATATTTAAATATATTTAAAATGTATAAAAATAAGATTAACCACTTGAGCTACAGAAGATTTTAAGCCCCTTTATGACTAGGCAATTTTTGCTATACTGCACTGCGCTACATTAACTAGCAATTGCACGGTCATGCAAGGCTGAACCCAAATGATATTTCTATATATCATTTTTTTCATGCAAATAGAGCTTTCTTTTGGTGGTATTTGATCACCACTGGTTTTTTTTTTTATTTCTTTGTGATATATAAATGAAAAAAGACCAAACATTTAAGAATAAAAAAACATTTTTTACTTTGTCATAAAAGATATCCAATAAAATCTAATTTCTTCATAAATTTTGGCTAAAATCTCTGTGGAAAGGGGTTGACATCAAGGGCGATCGAGGGGTTAAATATGTGCCTAACTATGTGTAAAGTGTGCTGCTTTTACTAAGAGATCTCTAAGTTTTTCATCCCTGCTTCGCATGCGCGGGGCTGAAGCCCAAAAGTAGGTGGCGACATATGGGGATGGCGCTTTGCCTACAGTGGCTGCCTGTTTGCAGTACATTGCATGCGGCCACTAAGTGGTTAAAAAAAACAATCAGATGCTGAGAATGGCAGTTTGTGGATTTATGAGTTTTGTATCAGTTGGTTATGAGCTCATGTGCATGGTTTTTTTGGGAATTTTTTTGTTTTGTTTTTTTTTTCTGCACTTGATTTTTTCTTCTCCCTTCCATTAATTACTTGAGCTGCAGAGCATATAAGGTGCACAGCCACCAGTGCTGATAAGAGTGTATAGTTACTTGGGACTAGAATAGGTCCTGCAGTTGTAGGTCATATCATTTCATTATCTGTAAATCACAAGTTCCACTTTTAATCCTACTGAATGTATTAAAATAATGCCTATGTCAACCAGCCATTTAGTTTGATGATTTTGTTAAAGTCTAACTCTAGCCAATTTTTAATTCTTTAGTTTTGAATGAAGTTGGAATACTTCCTTGAGATTTATCTACACACAGTCTATGCGATATAAGGGCAAGTAATTGGGAAGGGGGGGGCGGGGCGAAAAGTCGCCGGGAAAAAAAAAAGCACATACAACATTAAAAGCATTCAGAAATTCTAAACCCTTGTTTTGTTTGTGCCCCTGACTTTTCATGACTTCTTCTGACAAGAAATGAGTGAAAATCTTCCCAGACATAGGCACTGGCCCATCTCTACTGTACTCAAGCACAACAAAATAAATAGTTTGGCTGGAGTTGGGCTATAAGCAGGCTGTGGGAGAACTGTTTTTGAAGAAAACGTCTACTGTTTACAATCATTCATTATATAATCAATTAAAGTCATTGTGATAATACCCAAAAATAACTCAGGGTTTCTGGTCACATTTTTATGCTTGCTTTGCTTCAGTGTCTGAAAGCTGTTTATAAACATACTATGCTTCTGTCTTTTAGGTCATAGACAATCAACAAACCCAAATTGACAGTTTGATTGCAGAAATGCAGGTATGAGCCAGTGCTTTATTTAATGGTACTGAAGGAAAGTAAAAATGCATGAAACACCTTATGTTCGTGAACTGGTTAGAATACAAATATCATGATGGGTTTCATTCCTGTGGGATCTAAAATGACCAACTGAAATGAAATATGATTTTTTGATCACTAGTGAGGCTTGTGTTAATGCTGAGCTACAAAACCTAAATTTGTCATTAACCACTTGCCTATCAGGCACTTTTACCCCCTTCCTGCCCAGACCAATTTTCAGCTTTCAGTGCTGTCGCACTTTGAAAAACAATTGCGCAGTCATGCAACACTACCCAAACTACATTTTTATAATTTTTTTGAGACAGAGCTTTCTTTTGGTGGTATTTATTCACCAATGGGTTTTTTTTTTTTTGCTAATCAAACTAAAAAATACTGAAAATTTTGGAAAAAAATTTTTTTCTCTTAGTTTGTTATAAAATTATGTAAATAAGTAATTTTTCTCCTTCACTGATGTGGGCTAACGAGGCTGCACTGATAGGTGGCACTGATGGGCATTGACAGGCATCACTGATGGGCACTGAAAGGGAGCACTCATATGGCACTGATGGGCACTGTTGGGCTTCAATGACTGGCACTGTTAGGCAGCATTGATTGGAACTGTTAGGCGACACTGATGGGCACTGTTAGGCGGCACTGACTGGCACAAATAGTTGGCACTGAAAGGCAGCTCTGATGGGCACTGATATGTGGCATTGATGTGCACTGGTAGGCACTGATATGTGGCATTGATGATGTGCACTGGTAGGCACTGATATGTGGCATTGATGTGCACTGATGGGCACTGGTACAGTTAGGTCCATATATATTCGGAAACAGGCACAATTTTTATACTTTGGGCTCTGTATGCCACCAGAATAAATTCAAACAAAACAATCCAATTTAATTTGAAGTGCAGACTTTCAGCTTTAATGCAAGGGCTTGAACGTAAATATCAAGTACAAATTTTAGGAACTGCAACCATTATTATACACAGTCCCTCCATTTTCAGGTTATCAAATGTGAATGGACAAATTAATATAATCATAAATAAAATGTTCATTTTTAATATTTTGTTGAGAATCCTTTACTGGTAATGACTGACTGAAGTCTGGAACCCATGGACATTACCAGAGTCTGGGTTTCCTGCTTTCTGATGCATTGCCAGGCTCTAACTGCAGCTGTCTTCAGTTGTTCATTGCTTGTTCATTGTTTGTGGGTCTTTATGCCTTTTAGTTTTGCCTTCAGCAAGTGAAATGCATGCTCAATTGGGTTGAGATCAGGTGATTGACTCCTGGGTTGCTTTTGCAATGTGTTTTGGATCATTGTCCATCTGTACTGTGAATCACCATCCAATCAACTTTGCTGCATTTGGCTGAATCGGGGCTGACAGTATATCTCTAAACACTGCAGAATTCATCCGGTTGCTTCAGTCACATCATCAAATATCAATGACCCAGTACCACTGGAAGCAATGCATGCCCATGCCATCACACTGCCTCCACCATGTTTTACAGATGACGTTGTGTGCTTTGGATCATGAGCTGTTCCAAGTCTTCTCCACACTTTTTTCTTCCTGTCATTTTGGTACAGATTAATCTTAGTTTCATCCATCCAAAGATTGCTTTTCCAGAACTGGTCTGGCTTTTTTAGATGTTTTTTGGCAAAGTCTAATCTGGCTTTTCTATTCTTCAGGCTTGTGAATGGTTTGCACCTTGTGGTGAACCCTCTGTATTTGCTCTTGTGAAGTCTTCTCTTGATTGTAGACTTTTACAATGATACGCCCACCTCCTGGAGAGTGTCCCTTACTTGTTTGGATGTTGTGAATGGGTATTTCTTTACCATAGAGAGGATCCTGCGATCATTCACCACTGTTTTCTTCCATGGGCGTCCATGCCTTTTTATGTTGCTCAGCTCACCAGTGCATTCTTCTTTCCTCAGAATGTACCAAGCTGTAGATTTGGCCACTCCTAATCTTGCTGCTATCTCTCGGATGAATTTTTTTCATTTTTTAAGCCTTAAAATAGCCTTTTTCACTTGCGTGGACAGCTCCTTTGAACACATGATGTAGGTTCACAGCAATAGATTCCAAATGCAAATACCACACTTAGAATCAACTCCAGACCTTTTACCTGATTAAATGATGAAGAAACAACGGAGTAGCCCACACCTGGCCATGAAACCGCTTTTGATTCAATTGTCCAGTTACGTTTGGTCCCTTGAAAAAGGGGGGGATCACTGCTCTTTAAAAGCTGTAATTCCTAAAACCTTCCTCCAATTTGGATGTTCATACCCTCAAATTAAACCTGAGAGTGTGCACTTTCAGCCCATATCCATTATATAACTATAGCTTGAATATGTTTTGGTAAATACCTGAAAAAAAAACTAAAATTGTGCCTGTGTCCAAATATATATGGACCTAACTGTATGTGGCATTGATGGGCACTGACAGGTGGCACCGATGGGGCTACACTGATCATCAGTGTAAATGTCCCCTCTGAAGAATGCCACTTACTGGCTCTCCTCTCGTGCTGTCAGCGTGAGAACACTGCCAATAAACGGCATTTCCTGTTTACATGTGATCAGCTGTGATTGGACACAGCTCATCACATGAGAGAGCCGACGTCATTGGCTCTTTACCCTGATTGGTGATCCGCTGTGTCCCAGGGACACAGCTTACCACCGATTGCTGTGCACCTAGAGTGGAAGGACGTCATATGATGTCCTCCTAGAACGAGAGAACCGCCGCTCACCCGGCACTTCCTTATATGGCAGGTGGGAGGCAGTTAAACCTCTGTAATTGTGCCCCTCTGTAAAGAGGAAGGGGCAAGTGCTAGCTGCTCTACTATGTCACGTCACTTCCTCAAACTCAGTCTTTCCAAACCTGAGCACGTTTTCTTTCTTCCCTCTCCTGTGCCTCCTCCCCTGACTTCTTCGCCAAGATCAGTGGCACAACCATCGGCCCCTTCTCACATACCGTGGTGTTAGGTGGAATCCCGGACTCTGACCTTATCTCCTTATTTGACCAACTGTCAATCACTGTCCAAACCTCCATAACAACACTGGAATATGCCCCTTCTTAACGAACTATACCACAGAGCTGCTGATCACTGTCTTATTATCTCTCGTCTCATCTATTGCAACTTCCTCCTGGTTGGCATTGCACACAGTTGTTTTAGATCTGATTTGCAGATTAAAGCCCAGACTATTCCCCCACCTGACTTATTTCCTTAGATCTCAGCAAGCAGAGTGGAAGTTCAGTAAAGTGGTACTCTTACCCCTTTGTGGTCATTGTGCAGTTGTTTTTAATGCATCTTGCACAGTTTTAACAAGACTTATCATGGGTACCAATCCAGGATGGTGAATGTTTCCATAAACGTGACAAATATTGAAAAAACAATTTTTTGCTTATCGGTTTTACTTATTTGCTCCAAAATACTGCAAAAAGAGCCAAAGGAAAAGTACTTATTATTCTGATTTCTAAAGAGTAAACCATCTTTGCTATAAACACATTAGTATGAAATCAAACTGTTGATACAGCTTTTTCTGATTTACTTTTCCACTTTTTAGGCTTTAATAGTTTTATGAAAATCAATATACTTCATATTACGAGCTGACTTTGAAGCAAAGATTGGATACGATGACACTTGGGACTACCTGAACTGTGTAGATAGGCAGGCATGCATACACAGCCACCAGAAAGTGTTTTTTTAGCACTTGATTAATAACAAGAGGGATTTAGGTTTGTAGTTCATTATTCATTGTCTGGAATCATTGCCTGAGGTGGAGCAAATTCCTATAATTACCTGCCAGTGCACAGAGTTGTCCTTGCCATTTGATTAACTAGGTATTTTGTCTGTAAATCGGGTTTTGCGTTTTTAAATATTTTATAGGGGGCATTCACAGTATGTATTTTGTGTGAAATCTGGATTATATCTGTAAATATTTTCTAGTGGGCATTTATGGTTAATCTTTAACACACAGTTGCGATCCACTTAGACACTTTCCTCCTTTTGTCAGGATTTTATATTATGCATATCAATGAAATTTAAAGCCATATTAACAGTTGATGGCATTTCTAACTCATATCATGCTGATAATGAGCAGGACTTTTGCCTAGAAATGCATGGTATAAAACTTGAACAGCTCCCTACATTTGATTACACAAGCCACATATTTAAAGTTCAATTGATGTGTCATGGGAACAGTAAGTGCTTAGTTTTACAGTTGTTTCTTTGTAAATCAGCTCCAGTGCTGCAGAGGAGGATTGCAGCTCTCTGCATGGAAGCAATGGTCTCTCTGCACCACCCTGTCCCCAACGCGTGCTGAGTCACAGCTAGAGCCCAGCAATCAGCTGGATGTTTGAGCTTTGCAGATTGCTGGGCTCTCTAGCAATTATTTATTTATTTCAGGTACTTATATAGCACCATCAATTCATGCAGTGCTTTTACATATATGTTGTACATTCACATCAGTCCCTAACCCTCAAGGGGCGTACAATCTAAGGTCCCTAGCTTACATTCATACATACACATACTAGGGTCAATTTAGACTGTTTCCAATTAACCTATCAGCATGTCTTTGGAGGGTGGGAGAACCAGAGTACCCGGAGGAAACCCACGCATGCACAGGGAAAACATGCAAACTCCAGGCAGGTGGTGCCGTGGTTGAGATTCAAACCAATGACCTAGTACTGCCAGGCGGAAGTGCTAACCATTTAGTTACTGTGCTGAGCAATGGCTCAGCAGGGGACGTGTTGGACCACTGCATCCACACAGAGAACAGCAATCTTTTCTGCAGCATCGTACAGGATTTTCTTCTCTCACTGAGGCTGCATTACACAGATTTTAAATTTAACACAAGTATTTTCCCTGACACTTCAGCTGGGCTTTAACGAAGACATTTGCTAAGTGCTATCTACATCTGAACAGGCCACATAACATACTGTAATTCTGGTGAAAAAAAATAATTCTGAGGAAATAAATTTAGTTTTAATGGGACATCTATGGCACTAATATTCACATACACGTGGAAGAATTCCGAAACAGTAGACTACGTGTATGGCCATGCCCTCTCTCCAGCGCTGTCAGTAGTGGAGGTGACAAAGACACCACATTCTTCTCACTAGCCCCCAGTTAGCATGAAGCATTTTTGGCCACCCGCAAAAGGCAACAAATGATTGTGAACAGCTCCTTTACATAGCAGAGTTTTCTGAACACTGCTAATAGGTAATCTATAGAGATCTAAAGAGCAGTGCCCTTAATAGCTATAGAGTTTTTTTTTTTCTTGCCAGCAAAGCAAGAAATGAAACTTGACTAATAGATGTATGCTATAGCACATCACATTTAGTTTACTAAGCTGCAAGGTGGTTACAAAATAATTTTCCTGCAGCACGGTAAACCACATGGATCTGTATGTCAGTGTGCTGCGGTCACTCCTGTATTTCTGCTTGCATATACAATATAAAGGACTATTTGCAGTAATGTGTTTTGCCAATTTGCCTATTCCAATGTATTGATTGTCATCTGAACTGTTAAAATTGTGGCAGTTAGAATGTAGCATCTTACAGGAAAACGTTCCTGAGAGAAGTAGAGAGGCTTCCACTGATGTCCTTCTTCTAAAAATGCTAGTTCTCTGTCTACCATATTGATTCACTGGCTTCAATGCTTACCATCTATTATTTGCAATACTGATTGCAAATAAAATATTCTTTGCCCGTCTTCAGCTCTGTAGGCAAACCAAAAGATGCATTCCCTCTCCACACCTATTTTAAATAAATGAATACCTTAAAGTAGAACTAAACCCATTTATTTAATTGTTTCAAAAAACGGGAACGGAACGACACTACTCCTGAGCTGGCCAGGTGAATAAACGATAAAGAGCGGCCTCAGCCACCCTTTATGATTAAGCCCCGGTGGGCTGGGCGAAATGCATCAGAGTGCAGTTTGGTGGAGACGTGGGCTGAGGCCGCACTTTTACCTGGGCTGGTTGGGAGTAGTGGCGATCCTGTCCTCTTTACAATTACTAGCCCCTTGGATTGGTATTAGGACAAGCCTCCACCCCATGTTCTGTGACACAGGGATATGCCTTCACCTCTACTTTGAGCAGCACCAAAGGCAATCAAAAAGATCACAAAAAAAAGTTACATTCCCAGCATGCCTGGAATGCTGTCACATTTGATTGTGCTCTCAACCAAACTGACAAACCATCAAATGACTGGTGTCATAACTGATCACATGTGCAGCACCATGCCAGCTGTAGATCAAACAGAGCCTAAGATGGCAGCTTTATTGGCCAAAAAGGATAGGAGGGTTTAGTTCTGCTTTAAATCCAGTGGTCTTCTGATTGGTCAGGTGACCTCACAGATCATTCATTTTTTGCTGTGGTTGTGCCCATAGGAAGTCCTTACTGTAGCACAAAGCATCACACATGTAGCAGTGTTTTGTGCTGCATTACTGTGAGCTGAGGCTTCTGTGATCTTACACCCTCATGGGAAGTGTCCATGATAGCCTTTGCATAGCAATGGCCATCATTCAAACCATAAATGGAATGGCAGCCTGCAGTTGAGAGAATTTTCTGTACAGGCAGCTCTAGATTGAAGGTGAGTATTGCAGCAAGAGCTGTTTTATTAATTTACTCGTTACACCGTTTTTTTTTTCCTCCCAATTTCTTTATATTTAATTTGTAGGTATAAAAAGTACAAAACAGCAATTTGGGCATACCCTGGCTTATTAGATACATAAAACAAAGAGAAAACAACAAACATATTCCTGTGTGCAGTCCACAGACAGGCTAAATACAGAGATAAAATATTGGCTTGCTAGAGCATCTATTGCAGTGGTTCTCAATCTTCCTAATGCCGTGACCCTTTAATACAGTTCCTCATGTTGTGGTGACCCCCAACCATAAAATTATTTACCCAGTAATTATAATTCATGAAGTGTCGTTTTACCTTCAATACTGCTGCTTTCAGCACAGTAGCTGCTTTCAGCACAGTAGCTGCTTTCAGCACAGTAGCTGCTTTCAACACAGTAGCTGCTTTGAACACAGTAGCTGCTTTCAGCACAGTAGCTGCTTTCAGCACAGTAGCTGCTCTTTACACATCAGAAATATGTGTTTTCTGATGGTCTTAGGTGACCCCTGTGAAAGGGTCGTTCGACCACTAAAGGGGTCGTGACCCACAGGTTGAGAACCACTGATCTATTGGAATGACAACACACTCTACTACAACTGGGATCATCCCCTACTGGAGTTCTGTTTTAATGATTGGTAGACAGTAACCAGACCAAACTTAATGTGAAGAAGTTATTATACATGGCAAAAATAAAGTATCCTTTTTTTTTTTTTTTTTCTCCTCTCCCGTGGAACACCTTAGATCCTAGGCCCAGGTCAAAATTAGGCCCTGCTTCCTCTCCTGATGCTAAGCAATACTGCCTTTCAATCATGTTTCAAATGCCATCACTAATTGCTCTGCTATTTGACAGTTGAATGACAGTGATTTATCTGGACCTATCTGGACCCATGTATAAC